CGGAACCCGCTGATTGGCTGCGTGTGGAGCGGCGGCCGCCGGCGTGTCCGCTCGGACCCGGGCGGAGGGCGGGCTGACTGAAGTCGCGCGGGCCGCCCCGCCCCCCGCGCCCCGCGCCCCGCCCCCGCCTCCTCGGGTCTGAGGTCTCCGGGCTCGGGGCTGCAGCGCTCCCCTCCCGCCCGCCCCCGCGCAGCGGCCCTTTCTCTGCGCAGCGGCTGAGCCCGCGGCGGCGGCGGCGGCGGCGCGACCCCAGCGAGCGAGCGAGCGAGCGGCGCGGCGACGAGCGCGGAGCAGGCAACCTGGAGGATGAAGTGCAAGCCGAACCAGACGCGCACGTACGACCCCGAGGGCTTCAAGAAGCGGGCGGCGTGCCTGTGCTTCCGCAGCGAGCGCGAGGACGAGGTGCTGCTGGTGAGCAGCAGCCGCTACCCGGACCGCTGGATCGTGCCGGGCGGGGGCATGGAGCCCGAGGAGGAGCCGAGCGGCGCGGCCGTGCGAGAGGTGTATGAGGAGGCGGGCGTCAAGGGGACGCTGGGCCGGCTCCTGGGCGTCTTCGAGCAGAACCAGGACCCCAAGCACCGGACCTACGTGTACGTCCTGACCGTCACCGAGGTGCTGGAGGACTGGGAGGACTCGGTGAGCATTGGCAGGAAGCGAGAGTGGTTCAAAATCGAAGATGCCATCAAGGTCCTGCAGTGCCACAAGCCCGTGCATGCCGAGTACCTGCAGAAACTAAAGCTGGGCGGTCCCCCCACCAACGGAAACTCCGTGCCCGGGAGCGACCGCTAGTATGTACGGCTCCCGCGCAGACCCCCGCTTGCCGCCCGCCCGCCCGCAGCGCCCAGTGCCCGCGCACCCCCAGCGCCCGTGCGGGCTCCCCGGGGGAGGGGGCGCCTTTTGTTTCCTTGGCAGACGCTCACCCTCGCTTGCAAACTGTCTCACTTACTTGCCAGGCACTGTTGGTGGACAAGTCGCCGGTTTTTCGGAAGCGTTGAGCATCGCTTCTTGCCGGTTAACCTCGTTCGCACGGGCTAGTGCACAGGGGCTCTTCTGAACGGTGCCTTACCTGCCCGCCCGGCCCGGGGCGGTGTGTGTGTGCGAGCGCGCGTGTGCACCTTGGGCACCAGTCGTGTGGTTTTGTAGCAAACGCGTTTACAGTCTGATCGCCTTGGTCGTCTGGCCTCTTTCGTTCCTGTTCGTTCTGAAGTTGTTTTCTCGTTCGCAGTATTAGCCCTTGTGGGCAAGACCTGCTGTGGTGGGAGTTGGTTTCAATGAGCCGTTTTGCATTAAAAGATATTTAAGAACTTTGACTTCTTGTGCTCTTGCCGTGCTCGACAATAACGTTATCTTCAGAAATAAAGTGATCTCCTTTGCCCTTTTCAGAAATGTCTTTATTCATCTGGACATAACTTGATTTGCAAAACATTGCTCACAACTGCAAAGTTTTGACCGCTTACTTGAAATGGCCACTCCCCATGTGGCCCTAAGGTCCTTTAACAAAATACCGCTTTAGAGAGTCCGTATTTCTCAGGAAGGTGTTGTTAGCCAAGCCCGTCCATGAATCTTATCGGGGAAACGATTCCTACAGGACGTGTAGCGTGGTCAACTTCCAGCCCCCACTGCCCTGCCTCAGTCCCCCCAGAACAACCATGGTTTTCTCAACATAAACTAGCTTTGGAAAGAAAGCTATTGCACATATTAGGATTTAGCCACGGTCCAGGTAAACTTCCCACTATGGGTAACCACAGGAACGGGAGCTGGTGATGACACCCGCTGAGGGAGGTACCTTTCTTGATGTTCAGCTGTTTCAGACTTCCAGAGTGGAGGGACACCTGAGCAATCTCTCTTCAAGGTTTAGAACTAACGTGTTGTGTCACACGGCACTCTATTTGGGGTGCTGAACTAAAAACTCTTACATTCGCCTGGATGCTTGCTTCTCATCAGGACTCCCAGCTGAGATACCTGGGTCTCTTCTGGACTACCTTTATTCTCCTACGCGTGTCTCCTGATAACCTGCTAATACTGAAGTTAGCCGATCGTAAATGTGTGTGGGCAAACAGTACTCTGAGTGGTGGAAAAGAAGTAAAACATGATGGTTTCATGAGGGAGAGTCGGATGTGGTAGAAACTACATTGGGCCTTTGAAGTCATTCAGTCCTAGGGTTGAAAACTGCCTGCACCTAAAATGCTGCCACAAACACTTGGGGGGGTTTAATTTATCTATGGTATTCTTAGAGATAATGCAAAATCGCATGTGTTGACTCTTATGCTAAGTATTTGACAAATTGAAAAATACAGTGTTGATGTTTATCAACACTTAAGAGTTGTTAGCCTGTATTTTATTTTATTCAGAAATATTTGGATTGCCAAAATATCTTCAATTTGTGCAATGTGTAAAACTTCCAAGGTTTTCTTTTCTAAATCACAACAGAATGCTTTACAGTCATCACACTGTAAGTTCAGTTTTCAAAATCACATGGGCAGTTCTTGGTATATGTGCTTCTGGAGTTCAGTCTAAAAAGGTTAAATGAAAAAGCAAAAAGCCTTTCATTTTGAAAGAGAAATCCAAAACTTCAGACGAAAACAGTTGACATGGTAGCAAATGGAATGGTGTCTATAACCGCCATTCTCCATGAGTTTAGTACACAGTTGGGATTTTCTGCATACAGAAGCATTACATAGCACCCATGCATTACTTATGTGGTGATTGCACTGAAAGTGTGCAGATGAATCTTTCAGCTTATACCCCTCCCAGAAAATTGTACATTGATCAAAGATAATTAATACTTTCAGACATGAGGTAGAAATTTGTTTTCAGCATGTTTTTTTAAAGGCTATTTTTTCCCAACTGTACAAGTGCCTATTCTTATCTTTAAGTTTCAAGAAGACATGTTGGAGTACATTTTCATTTGAAATAATTGTAAAGATTTTAACAGTTTTATATTTAGAAACATCAAATAAATATTAGGGGGTGGGGGTGTAAGAGCAGGAACAAGCAGCTTGTAAAGTACCAGCAACATTAGAGGCACCTTCTGGGACAGAAACTTTAAAGGGCTCTGAAGCTAGAGCTGCACCTCTCACTTCCCATTCCGTTGAGTCCAATTGTAAGAAAAAGCAATTCCTCCTTCAATAGTTGTTGACTGGGAAAAGGGAGGTGAAAGTGTGTTTGTAGAGACCATGGGACTAACAGCTAGCCAGAGTTTTCTTTTTTAGGGTTCCTTTTGTGGAAGCACCAAGCAAAACAGGAAGTATTTTCAGCATCTTTCTAGTATTATAATCCATCTTTCTGAATGACTGTTGGCCTGTTAGACTGTAAAGTCTGAGGACTAGGACCCAGCCTGATTCCTGCCCATATCCTCAGCAGCTAGAACAGTGGCTAAAATTTGGAGACACTTGTCATTGATCCAGAGATTAGAAATGTCTACTACTAGTATATTCTTGATTTCTTAGCTTCACATGTTAGCTGAGACAATCTGTTATTCCCTCAGGTTCACAGCAGAACTGCATTGGATAATTCACTGGTGGCTTTTTCAATAAAAAGTGGTTACTGAACCATAGTAGATCACCAATAAACATTTGCTGACTAGAGGAATTGATGAACCAATAAAACTATTAATGAGTTTTTTTCCAGATTTACTTTGAAAGAATCAAGAATATGAACCCAGTGGTGAGTGGAATTGTGAAGCACAGGTGAGCTCTTTCATCAAGAACACAGCTCATTCCATGCTTTTGGACAGTTCTTCCCTGTTTATTACAATGACAATTCTCCAGGTTGTTGCATTACCACTGTATCTGTACAGACTTCTAATTTGGCACTTATGGCCTTTTATGTGCTTTTATGATTATGTGTCTGTATTTTCCACAGGCTTATATGATGTTGAGTGCAAGGACCTTGTTTCCTTAGTCTTTTTATATATCTAGCATATAAGACATCACTTGAAATATGGTAGATATCACTGAAGATTTGTCTAAATAATATTTTGTAATGGCACTGAGTGGTGGTAAAGCATTCACCTACTAATTGAGTGTTAGTACAGTAAATACTCTCTAACATACATGTGACCTTTGTATATCAGGTGTCAAGTGTTTCAAGGCATCTGTGAGATACCAGAAAGCAAAAAAATTCTTACTCATATCTATGTCATCTGAGGCATTATGTGCCTCTTGATGGTAGTACATTATACCACCTATGAAATATATTTGCCAAAATTTTGGACTTAAATGTAACTGTGCCTCTAGATACACATCCTAATCTGTAGAAAATACAGGGAACAGAGAAACATATACTGGAGAGATGATAGCAGCAGAATCCAAACTGTAGGAAATTCTATAGGACAGATGACCCAGTTTCTTCAGTAAATGAATGGCCTGGATGAAAGAAAGAAATGGGAGGATGAACCTATAGATTAAAAGAGACTTAAGAGACATATGAACCAGTTGTAATATATGGATATTTTTGGACCCTGATTTGGCCAAACTGTAAAATACATTTATAAGACAATCTGAATAATTTGAAAATTGATTTGATATTGATATCAGTTGGGATAAATGGTGTTGTGGTTATGTTGAAAACAAATGAGTTTTTATCTTTTAGAGATACATTCTCAAACATTTACAGTTGGTATGTTGTCTGGAATTTGCTGCAAAATAATAAGTCTGGATATTAAATGAATTGAAGATATTGATGAAACAAGATTGACCTTGACTTGATAATTGTTGAAGTTAAGTGATGGTTAAATGATAGTTCATTATATGTTTCTCTCTACTTTTGTATATTTGACAGTTTCC